CTTATTGCCTGACTCTGCCCTCAAAGTATGTGTTGGAGTTACAAATTTTGTTGACCTTTCAGAAATTATTCTATATTGGATTGATATGAGTTATCTTTGTTTATGCTACTGATTAACAATGTCACTATGTACTTTTTCAGTCAATTTTTCCTTTTCTTCATGAATATGAAGAAAATGCATGTGAAACACATCCCAGACGAAGATGATAGTGACTCTTTACACCAGGCCTACTTCTGTCATGATCTTGTGCTACTGATCTATACTACTATAATGTTTTATTGATAAATGATATAAAATTAATCCATGTAAACATAAGCTAATGTTCAAGTATATTTCTATATACAATATAGTAGTCTCCTTTACATAAGTATTTTTCTTTAAATAATCTGATATGCATGAGAATGCTCACCTGATTCCCAGGACCTCACTCAGATAACACCAGGCTTGTTTAACATAGGCACTATGTTTGCTACCTTGGTAGCAGTGCTACTCTGCCAGCATGCAAGGGTCAGACCATTTGCATACACAAGGTTCATATGAAAATGCCTCCGCATGTCTAAATCAAACTCTACTTCTGTCCCTAGTCTCTCTGCCAGTGCCAGCTAGTCCTTTGACTGTTAAGACTCTGCCTTTATTCCTTTATTTAGAACTTATTTTTAATAGGGTTAAGCTTTTGAAGTATTTGATTTTTTTTATATCCTTTTCTCTTCTTTTTCCTCTCACCTTAATTTTTCAAATGCCAAGATTAAATTTGTTATTAAGTGCTTTTGGAATTTTTAAAGATACCCTTGTCAAGCCAAGAATATAAAGATGTGTTTTATATATTGTACTTAAAAATACTGAAAGGATTCTGACAGATAATAAAAAAGAAAGGGAAAATCTATCCACTGAACATGCCCATACATGACAATGTTAACATGCACCTTATACAGTAATATAAATAATCATATAATCTATAAAACATATCACTTATAAAAAACAGTATAAAAAAAATAAAATAAAAGTTAAAAAGAGGAAGAACCACATGCTACAGTTGAGTATTGTAAATAAACTAGTCTTTATCAAACATAATGACCATCATGTGCAGATTATCAATCAGTATAAAAAATTCTGGCCTCGTGCACAGCAGATGCATTCAAAATTTACATTTGTGTCCCATAAGCAGTCTACTTGTATATTCCATTAACCTTTCAATACTAACTTATATAAATGCTAAAACTAAAATGTGTGTGATTCTTTACGCAGTTTCATATATAATACCACTTCTAATGATCTACAAAATCAGGATTATGGTAATGAGATATATATTCAAAATAAGGCTAAAATAAAAACTGAAGGAAAGTAAATGTAACAGCAGATATCAATTCAAAACAAAGAAAAGACAAAGGCACATATTAGTTATATATATCAAAAGTTTTCCTATGACATCTTACACTGTTACATACAACACTCCACCTTTGAATTTTAAGTGAATAAATATTTTTTTAATAAATAGACAGGACAGATAGGCCTATGTCAGATTTACACAACAAAAAAAAAATTACAATGCACAGTAGAGAATAGGTAACTGCTCTGAAAAGCTACATGTCTCTGATGCTAATGAATCTGGTACTATTGGACTGTTTATATCTACTGTCCCTGGAACCCAACTACCCCAATGATACTAGTCAGACACTAAAATCATACCAGGGAGACTAATAAAAGTAAATTACAAAAATACATAATACTTCAATACTATTACTCATGGTCCCCTAAAACTCTCCTTCAAGATGGATATAAGAGGTTTCATGTGAGCCTGCAATTAAAGTAGCATAACTTCAGGGTTGGCCTTGTCTTGGTGCCTGTTGACACTCCAACCAAGGGACAGACAGATACAATTTGCCTTGTAGGAGTAAATGTCATCCTTAGAAAAAATATCTGAACAAGCTACATTGGGAAGATCTATGCTTCAAGAATTCACAGTCAACAGAGGACATGGTTTTGTGCATCCATTGATGCACAAAATCACCATAAGGTGTAAAAAATTCTAAAGAGAATGCAGCAGAGGGAAGAAGGGCACCTATAGGAAAAGACTTCAATAGCAAAATAAACTTCCCCAGGAAAGGAAAGAAAAGCAGGACCATGTGTTACAGGATGACACAATATGAGGAAAGTCTACTATAGGGCTACTCAACTATTTTGAATATTTTGGATATTTCTCCCTCAAAAACAATTGAAATGGAGAATTTTCCAATGGGGGGAAAAAATTACTGTTTAATGTATTGGTACTTTAGTAATATAACCTACTTTTTTAAACCTAACAGGAATTAATTTTTTCCTCTCAGAAAATAAAATGCAGATTTTTCAAATGGAAAAATCAAAATATATTAACAGGTTAAACACATATATACAATAGACCCCTAACTTACACTACAGTCAGTTAAGGAAATACACTTTCAAGAATCCATCACCAGGACCTTCATTTTATGTAATTATACTTTTCTCCTCCTGGAGCCTATGGGTCTGCTACAACACTCAGAAGGTCCAGATTAGGACCGTGGGCCACCAGGTGAGTTGGTCTATAAGCTCTATCTTGCCATAATTGGTAGAGGTCTGTTGGCATTTGCCAGGGCGCTGTCAGGCACTGAGGCTGTGACTATCACTTGATATTGAAGCATTCTAATTACTGCCATTACTTGAACTAAAATTATAACTACAACATCTACAAAATAAACATTATAGTCAGAACATCATGCCCAGATTATTAGTATCAGTACTGTGCAATATTTTAGAAAAACTATCTAAGAGTTAGATACTGTAAAAGAGAAAAAACTCTTTATTTAGTACTGTATAATAGTGGCACCAGATTTTTTGGGGAAAATGTATTTTCTGAACATTTTAATGGGTTTCAAGAGATTATAGACATTAAAAGTTGTGCAAACCACCTATTATTGTGTCTTACCCTCTCCCTCTGTCCCAACAATCTTAGGGAACACACTGGGAATTGAGTGTGTTGAAGGGGGTAGAAGTGAATATTGTGGAAATATTGCATACTAAAAGCCCCAGAGAAATCCATGATTCTAATTCAACATAAATAACAATCATCAATTTAAATTTTGGAATTTAACCTCTGCGATTCAAAGTCTATTTACTGAGGCATGAAATGCATTGAGTTTGAACATGTAGCCTCACCTCACCCCCTAAATTCAGCTTGCCCTATTTTTCTGAACCCCTATCCAGGATGCTCCAGTCCCTGGATCCTCAGCAGTTACATTCTACCCACTCTATCTTATCTAACTCCTTGCTCTTGCTACCTAGCCTATACATATTAACTTATATTACTGCAGTGGTAGGAAGAGTGAAGATGCTGGTTGAAAGAGGATACGCATGTGTGAGTGGTGGACGGAAGGCACACACCAGATAGTAAGCCAAATACTGCTCATAGTGCTGCTCCTCGCTACAAGTATCCTGTTCCTAAGTTTTAGCTAAAAGCAATAGCTGTTCTGTACTTTGGGTGTAAGTCTTAAGAGTTCACAAAGTCTTATTGTCTCCTTTAAATATGTGTATTTGGATAGGCTTGTATATGCCTCTTGCTCATCAATGATGATTACTGTTCATGGGGTAATTCATTTCCTGGAAGCAAGGTTGCAGCAGACCTATCTAGCACCTATATGACAAGCCACTTTTTTGTGATCCTTTTAATTCCAAATAAGCAACCTTGCTTTACTTTTCCTGTGCCATACTTCCCTAAGCCAAATTTGCTCTCTCTACTATCACACACTATTTTCTGTTTCTTGCCTTTCTTTTTGGCCTCAACTAGCTTCCTCATTATACCTGGCAGGGTTGCAAAGACTCAAGACTTTACTTTTTTATGCATCCATAACACATAAATAGCAATAACTGGTTGTTCTTTCAAAGGCAATCTTAACATTATGTGTTTATCTATACTGCTTCCTGGCACACACAGTAAAAAGACAGGTGAATACACACTATTTACTACACATAATGGGGAGCAACGTACCATCAGCAGTGAAATATCTTATAGACACAAAATGATTTTTAATTTGCACAAGAAATTGCAGTAAACAAAAACATCAAAGAACTGCTTGCTTTCTACTTTAGTAATAATGAAAACCTGAAATTAGAGTGCCACCATTAACATGTACCTTATATTATTACAGAGCAACAAATGACAAATAATCTTATAGGCCTATCCCCCTGAGAAATATACCGCAACAAAACATCCCACTCAAACTCCTGGCAATCAGTACGTAGTCACATTCAACGACCTAGTCAATCCTTCATCTCCCTAGTCCTATCAACAAAGTAACTACGACAGACAACATGGAAACAAGTAAATGCCATACAGTTACTGCTGTTGCTACTGTCCATTGCATCAGCTTTAACGGAGGCAACAAGGACCACCAAACTGGCTACTGCATCAGGTTGAAACAATGATATGGTAAATACGGGTCACTGTAGATGTTTCACAAGACGTAGCAACATAATTGAAATATATTGAAAACTATATCAGTCATTACCAGTTACAAACGACATTTTGATGTCTTGAGGCAACAATCACAAACAAATAATGTGAAGGTGGACGCAAAAAAAGAACACGGAGGATGGAGCTGAAAAGTCAAAACAAATAGCAGTAGCGGGCCCAAACAATATAACTCTAAGTGAGATATAATAAAGTAGATAATTTTTGATTAAATAAAAATCCAGATTTTTATTTCTGCATAAGAATTCTAATTCACTGCATGAATTACCATTTTGTTTCTTTAATATATATTATCTCCGCGACCTATAATATTTTGGTCAGGGTTATGATACACACCATAGTTGCCAAATTGCTCCATATCTACAATCTTTTAATTTTTCTTATATACAAAGAGGAAAAAACATAGATATATAATACACTAAAAGAATTCATATTGTAAAGATTAAATAAAAATTATCCTATATGTATATGATGAGATTCTTCTTATCACACGGAAAACAGGAGAGTGTAGGAATCATAGACTTCACTACCGTTGCAGAGTATAATAAATAACAACATATAAATGCATGTTAAATATTTATAATTACTTACAGACTTAAACTTTTTTCATCATGGCTTGCGTTGATGACCTCCCAGAAGAAATTCTGGAGTATATATTGTGTCTCATATCACCTTATAATGATTTAAGAAATTGTAGACAGGTGAGTTGTTAGTTTTTATTGTTATTGTATTTTTCTGTGTATTGTTTCTTCATTTTTTTCTTAGTTATGCGTGTTTTTGTGCAGTGAATATTATTTAGATATTCTATTAGTGAAGTAATTTTTGAAAAGAAAAATCCATAGCAGTTGTGTGGAGTCCTATTTCCAGGGCATAACACTTACTCTCTTTATTTGGGAATCATATACACAATTTTTTATAGTTTTGCACAGGCATCCAACCTTGCAATTATTTTTCAGCCATTCACAGTGTGAGATTTGTTGTTGTTTCCTACTGCAAATGATAAAAGTATAATTATTGGTAATTGTTTGGGAAGTGGCCTAAGCATCGACAGGAATTTAGGGTAAATTTGGGAACGACACAACACTGATTTCCAGATGAAAAATATGTTTACCTGAAACCTCTTGTTGTGTTTTGAATGAATCTAGCACTCATTTCCTTCGCAAATGAAGCACAGCTATGATATCGGTCAGGATACCTGGGGAGGGCATGATAAGTTTCTGGGAAATTGTGGGATAAAAGCAAATGATCTAAGTAAAACTTTCAATGAAGCACATATACAGTATATAGTAAATAGTGGGCTTTGCTCTCTAACCCCCTGCCTGGTCTGCTAAATGCTCACCTCGTATATTCTGGCAGGATAGAGCCCAGGTAGATATCTGAATCTCACATCAATATTTCTTACCATGACCATTAAATCCAGTGTTAACTTCAGTCATTCCCGTTACATAATAGGAGTGGGCAAAGCTTTGCAGTGTGTCTCGCCTCCGATTGCAACACATTTTGATTGACAAAGTACAAATATATTTTGACAGTTATAATGAGAAACTGAATGGTTTCAAACATTTATTTGATAGATTACAAATTAATAAACATTCACTAGCAATGCAAATAGATATATGTATAAAATGTAGATATTCTGTCCCCAAAATGAGACAGCAGTTTCAGAATCCTCCTGGATTCCATCCTCAGGCCTGAAGAGGTAAGGGATAGGAGGTAGTATAAAAGAGAGAGAGGAGGGGCAACATGGTGAACATGGTGCAGGATTTCATCACTGAGAAGCATATTTCAATGGGGTTGAGAAAGGGCAAGTGCAGGGGAAGCTTCTTGATAACACAATCCACATTTTCATTGCATGAGTATCATCCATGAAAATCACAGCATTGTTAGGACCAAGCACAGCATCAAATAAGGCCATGAAAATGGTGTATAGCTCTTTGGTTACAGATGTGACATAAATCTCAAAATTAAATGTCTGCCAGATTGAAGATATCTACTATAAGAGTCACACCTCTCTGGGTCATATTTTCCAGCTCTTGATTGAAAGAGCATTTGAATTTGATGATACTTAATTACTCATATATAAGTCTCAGATATCAATAGAGATGGCTAAAATGATGTTATGATAAGTTATTGGTATGATTCCATGTGTGGGAATCAAAAGGATGTATAAAGAGGTATTTGGTTATTATTATTATTATTATTATTATTATTATTATTATTATTATTATTATATATATATATATATATATATATATATATATATATATTTTTTTTTTTTTTTTTTTTTTTTTTTTTTTTTTTTTTTTTTTTTTTTTTTTTGCTTTCAGTGTATTTTTATCTTGCTAATAGATTTATTATTATTATTCTTGCATATGAAAAGTTTTATGTTTTTTTTTGTGTGTATATGTAGTCCAGAAGACTCACTTGGTAAAGCCAGTCCTTTTGGAGCAAGAGTTTTTTTTTTTTTTTTTTTTTTTTTTTTTTTCTGTCAGTCTATAAGAATAATAGAATGATAAGAATATATAGCTCTCTTTATATGGAGACCTTGAACAAGCATTAACCAAAGTATTAAACATTACTATTCCAAGACATGAAATTCTTATTAGAGTCCCTTAGAGATTTTTAAATTTTATTTTGCCTGTACTGTTAGGGTTATCAAAATATTTTGGTGGTGCATTTCAACATTATAAGACTAGTTACTTATGAGAAAATAAAAAAAAACTGAATGCTGATAATGATACATATCTTTTTTCAGGTGTGTCAGCGATGGTATACATGTTGTCAAGGAGTTGTTGAAAAAAGGAAGTCTCGTTTCTTCTCTGCGCTTCGAGCTGGCTGTGTGGAATGGTTTAGCCCAGTGTACCCAAGTCACATCATTCCCATCAGCAGGAGATACTCACACTCAGCATGTGTGCATGAATCCTCCATGTATGTTTTTGGTGGATGTACATCAACGAATACTACCTTCAATGACTTATGGCGGTTTGACTTGGGGTTACATGAATGGACTCGTCTGTTGACAACTGGCACTTATCCTTCTCCAAAGGCCTATGCTTCTATGGTAACATGGAACAATTGTCTAGTGTTATTTGGGGGTTGGACACACCCTTCCCTCTACCCACTACACCAGCAGTGGGTCTTGTTTAGTGAACTTCATGTTTATGATATTTTGGGTAATCGTTGGACCCAGCTGTACTATCCTGGATCACCACCACCAACAGCTGGTCACTCTGCATCTGTACATGGTAGTGTGATGGTTGTGTTTGGGGGCTTGCAGAAACAAGAGGGAACATCTGCAAGTACTAATGATGTATTTTGCTTGGACCTTGTAAGACAGTGTTGGTTTAAACCAGTTGTATCTGATCCCATGCCAAAGCCTAGATACGGTCATTCACAAATTAAGTTAAATGAAAAGCACATTCTCATATTAGCAGGATGTGGAGGTTCTAATAAACTGTACAATGATATTTGGCTTCTAACATTACCAGACAATATATATGATCCAAGTGCTAAGTGGCAGTGGGAACAAATTTCAGTAGAAGAGTCAGAGTTTATGCCTTCACAGATGTGGTACAATCCTGCTTGTAAAGTTGGGAATAGCATAGTTGTATTATCAACCTGTGGATCAAACAGCAACTATGCAGGTGGCAATATGTCACAGCTTCTAGTACCAGGTTCAGTAAGGAGACAACCTGCCAATGTATGGGTTCCTCCAGCACAGCAGCCAGAAGTCCAGCCACATGAGCATCCTCCTCCAGATCGCCATCAGTTGGAACCAAATGTGAATGGTCAGCGTGGTTTTCTTAGGCCTGGTTTAAGGGCTGTAGACCAGGCAGAATCAAGCAGTGATGAGAGTGATGATATCAATCCACAAGGGGCTCCAGGTGGGCCAGGAGTACCAGGAAGAGGAAGGCCACGACCTTCCATAAGGCCCAATGCATCCAGTGACAGAGAACGCCGTCTTCAAGTCTTGTCAAGGATGAAGGAAAGACTTCGTGAATTGTCGAGGCACCAGCAGGGGGAACAAAGTGCAGCAGCACCCGTGAAACCAGTTCCTGCTAGAAGTACAGTAATTCCTCATATGTTGGACATAGGTCATGTTATTACTACCAAGAGAGCAAAATGGTGGCCAGTCAACCAAGGTGGAATCCTCTCAACAAGCTCAGGCACACCACCTCAGCCATCTCTCCTGTATTCTCTAGTTCTTGGTCGAGGTCACCTTGTCATGTTTGGTGGCATTCCACATGACCCCACTGGAGGACAGGGTCAGGAGACAGTTTCCAACTCTGTAATATTTGTGTCTGCTCCTTCCAGTTCTTTTATTACTGCATAATTAGCTTTGACTAAATGCTAAGTTCAAATTCTTTGCTCTCTCAGATGTTTAAAGCAGTTTGTTGCTTTATGATGGGTTTCAAATATTTCTTTAAAAAAGAAAGAGGTTACTTCTGTTGATACTCCTTTATCTTTACCATATTGACTGGTCTATAAGATACATTTTTTGAAAAAGGAAATACATACCTACACCTAAGATACCTGTTTAGTGATTAAAGACCAAGTAACAATATTGTATTATTACACTAATTTCACATTACATCAAAATTGTTTTTCATATATATATATATATATATATATATATATATATATATATATATATATATATATATATATATATATATATATATATATATATATATATATATATATATATATGTATGTATATATATATATATATATATATATATATATATATATATATATATATATATATATATATATATATATATATATTAGTGAAAAAAGTTTTATTTTCGATAAAATGCTCTGAACAACAGATGTGTCTTACAGCCTGGCAAATTTGGTATGCATAATTCAAATTCATATAATATTTTATAAACAGATTAGAAAAAAAACATTCCTCTGTGTTATTAAAAAAGATAAATAGGACTTCATATTGCATTATTTGATTTAAAGTAATTAGCACAAGTATTTGCTACTAAGTACCCCAATGTAGATTACAGCAATATGCATCTTCATATTATTTTTTTTATTTACAAAAAAAATGTGGATCATAATTTAATAATGGAACCAAAGTTTACTTTTCTTTCATTTTTACTACCACAGTGTCCCTTATTTTCCCTTGTTTACCATGAAATACCATGATATGCATTCTGAGATTTAAATTTGAATCCTCTTTTTTCTGTTAGATGTAGCATGGATGCTACTAACCTTTTCTTTTATTGTTTTAACTGTAAAGAAAAACTTTTCTCATTAAAGTAAGAAAAAAAGGTATTTTCATTAGTTATTCAGTTAATATAAAGGTGTAAGTGAAATTGACTTGTCCAGTTACCATCTCTCTTACTACTATATGAAATAAAGAATATTGAACAGGAGTTGTTGGAATGTTACTGGAATAGCACGTTGGTTTTAAGATATGCATCATGTCTGATATATTATGATTCCTGGTAAGGAACTGAAGAAAAGGCCTTTTCTCCCTAAGAATAGCAACTTTTAACATTACAGACAAGAGAAATACTTCTATTCTTCTGAGTGCATGCACATTTCAAGTGATGGCCACATATTCAGCATCAGATAAGACTAATAATTTTTGTTTTTTTTTTATGTGCGCAGAAATACATTTCAGATGGTCACATATTTCAGCATTAGCTTTGGTTTGTTACATATATGCAATATACATTCAGAGCAGCTTTGCCCCATTCTGTGATTCATTTCTGGAATGTTTTTATCATGTTTTTATAATTTCACAGTAATGTATTGAACAAATGATGTCAGAGAAAAGATTGCACGTAGAAATTGTGTTTTGGTTGTATAATTGCATGGATATTAATATGCTATCAGTTTTATATTGTTTTGAGAGCTTGATAGACAGAGACAAAATATTTTGATGTTTGAGCCCCTTGTAATCTTTATTCTAAACTGGTGTTGATGAAAAGTAATGTGTAGCTTATTCATAATACTTTATTTTCTTACATCACATTTTTTTGGTGATCTCTTTTCATCAGTGCAGGTTTCCCCTCTCAAAGAATGAATATTATTTGTTCAAAATATAATTTGAACAATATGATTAAATATAAATGTTTTGTTTATTTTTTTTATTATCTTTAGGAGAGTAGAAAAAACGATAAATTTAATAAATTTTGCGAAAGTGCCAAAAGCATGGGTTATTTACTGCTAAATCTTTGAAGCACAGATTTTTTTTTCTTTTTATTCTTTTCTTATTATTCTTTTCTTATTATTCTTTTCTTATTATTCTTTTCTTATTATTCTTTTCTTATTATTCTTTTCTTATTATTCTTTTCTTATTATTCTTTTCTTATTATTCTTTTCTTATTATTCTTTTCTTATTATTCTTTTCTTATTATTCTTTTCTTATTATTCTTTTCTTATTATTCTTTTCTTATTATTCTTTTCTTATTATTCTTTTCTTATTATTCTTTTCTTATTATTCTTTTCTTATTATTCTTTTCTTATTATTCTTTTCTTATTATTCTTTTCTTATTATTCTTTTCTTATTATTCTTTTCTTATTATTCTTTTCTTATTATTCTTTTCTTATTATTCTTTTCTTATTATTCTTTTCTTATTATTCTTTTCTTATTATTCTTTTCTTATTATTCTTTTCTTATTATTCTTTTCTTATTATTCTTTTCTTATTATTCTTTTCTTATTATTCTTTTCTTATTATTCTTTTCTTATTATTCTTTTCTTATTATTCTTTTCTTATTATTCTTTTCTTATTATTCTTTTCTTATTATTCTTTTCTTATTATTCTTTTCTTATTATTCTTTTCTTATTATTCTTTTCTTATTATTCTTTTCTTATTATTCTTTTCTTATTATTCTTTTCTTATTATTCTTTTCTTATTATTCTTTTCTTATTATTCTTTTCTTATTATTCTTTTCTTATTATTCTTTTCTTATTATTCTTTTCTTATTATTCTTTTCTTATTATTCTTTTCTTATTATTCTTTTCTTATTATTCTTTTCTTATTATTCTTTTCTTATTATTCTTTTCTTATTATTCTTTTCTTATTATTCTTTTCTTATTATTCTTTTCTTATTATTCTTTTCTTATTATTCTTTTCTTATTATTCTTTTCTTATTATTCTTTTCTTATTATTCTTTTCTTATTATTCTTTTCTTATTATTCTTTTCTTATTATTCTTTTCTTATTATTCTTTTCTTATTATTCTTTTCTTATTATTCTTTTCTTATTATTCTTTTCTTATTATTCTTTTCTTATTATTCTTTTCTTATTATTCTTTTCTTATTATTCTTTTCTTATTATTCTTTTCTTATTATTCTTTTCTTATTATTCTTTTCTTATTATTCTTTTCTTATTATTCTTTTCTTATTATTCTTTTCTTATTATTCTTTTCTTATTATTCTTTTCTTATTATTCTTTTCTTATTATTCTTTTCTTATTATTCTTTTCTTATTATTCTTTTCTTATTATTCTTTTCTTATTATTCTTTTCTTATTATTCTTTTCTTATTATTCTTTTCTTATTATTCTTTTCTTATTATTCTTTTCTTATTATTCTTTTCTTATTATTCTTTTCTTATTATTCTTTTCTTATTATTCTTTTCTTATTATTCTTTTCTTATTATTCTTTTCTTATTATTCTTTTCTTATTATTCTTTTCTTATTATTCTTTTCTTATTATTCTTTTCTTATTATTCTTTTCTTATTATTCTTTTCTTATTATTCTTTTCTTATTATTCTTTTCTTATTATTCTTTTCTTATTATTCTTTTCTTATTATTCTTTTCTTATTATTCTTTTCTTATTATTCTTTTCTTATTATTCTTTTCTTATTATTCTTTTCTTATTATTCTTTTCTTATTATTCTTTTCTTATTATTCTTTTCTTATTATTCTTTTCTTATTATTCTTTTCTTATTATTCTTTTCTTATTATTCTTTTCTTATTATTCTTTTCTTATTATTCTTTTCTTATTATTCTTTTCTTATTATTCTTTTCTTATTATTCTTTTCTTATTATTCTTTTCTTATTATTCTTTTCTTATTATTCTTTTCTTATTATTCTTTTCTTATTATTCTTTTCTTATTATTCTTTTCTTATTATTCTTTTCTTATTATTCTTTTCTTATTATTCTTTTCTTATTATTCTTTTCTTATTATTCTTTTCTTATTATTCTTTTCTTATTATTCTTTTCTTATTATTCTTTTCTTATTATTCTTTTCTTATTATTCTTTTCTTATTATTCTTTTCTTATTATTCTTTTCTTATTATTCTTTTCTTATTATTCTTTTCTTATTATTCTTTTCTTATTATTCTTTTCTTATTATTCTTTTCTTATTATTCTTTTCTTATTATTCTTTTCTTATTATTCTTTTCTTATTATTCTTTTCTTATTATTCTTTTCTTATTCTTGCTTTCTTATTATTATTCTCTTATTATTCTTTTCTTATTATTCTTTTTGTGAAAACCTTCAACAGTTGCACTTGTGAGTGAATGTGAAGTGAATGTAACCTTATATGATATAACAAATAGATTTTATGCTTTATAAAGTTTATTAAGACAAAGAAAAGCTCATGGAAGAGTAGAATTGTGCTCTGGAATAAGCATATCATTGACTCCACAGCTTACAAATAGACCACAAAAATACATTGTATAACACAATGATACATGTCTTGGACCCCCAGGAGGTGCAATTCAGCATCAGTAACTGACAGAGTAGTCATTCAAAACATTTTGTAAGTCCCATGGCATAGAAAGACAATAGCTGTGTATAATCTTTTATTGTGTGTGATAATGTCTGCACAACAGACATTACTGGGATGTTACAAATATTGAGAATTAAATTGAACTTTTGGTATAAGTACATTCAAAGATAGTAATGGCTGTTTGACAAAAAACAAAGCCAAACTGTATGTCATAATAATATTTACTTAATTTCCCTGATTCAAGTTGAACAGTAACATTCTGTTCTTCTCTACTAATGTTAAAAATTCTTGATACACTTCATTTACATATATGATCATTTTGAAATTGTAATTCTGGTAAATTTGAGCATGTACTTGTCAGCTGTCACTAATTTTCATCTATTATAAACATTTATTCTCTCTGAGGAAATATTTATTTGTAGGTTTCAATTTAACTATCAATGGTTAACAGCAATAACTTTGGGCTAATATATTATGAAATTTACCATCATTGTGCAAAAGGAATTCCCCTCCTAATGGAAAGTTCAAGAAATGTAACTGATATGAAATAAAATGTTTTAGTTTTTTCTAAATGTTCATTCGGTGAGCATTTAAATTAGCAACAAAATGTTTATGACTGGGTGTTTTTCTATTGGTTTGTAAGGTTAGATACATCAAATATTAACTGGTTTATGGGCATACCCTTGAAATACCTGAATAAGAGTTGCTGTGATCATGTCATTTGCACAACTTAATTACTTATTTCGACTTTGGTGGCAGACACTAGTATCACTTAATAAATAATGTTATTCATTATTTTTAAATAGTACAAGTCAGTGAAAAGGATAAGTAATTCTCTTTAATTATAATGCATGAGCTCATTGTGTGTATGCATTAGAAGCAA